AGAAAGGTGTTCATAAGAGGGAAGGTTATATTCTTGCTTCTAGATATATTATCTAACTAAAAGCTATGTAGCAACATTTTATAGGTCCTTCAATATACATCCAATTTAGAAAACATGTATCTAATTTGCAAGATAAGTTTCCTATTTGTGTGCTATATGACCAACATATGTGATATGTGACCAACTTGTTGGCCAAGTTTTTAATCAATTAATTATATAAAAATATTTATTAAGTCAAATCTACATATATAAAGCTTCTAAGAAGCTTTTCTACAAGATATTACATAATTTATCTACTTTTGTTAATTTCTATCTAACTCTTTTTATATATGTAAACATAACTAACATAAATAATTTGTAATGTTAGTTATGTTTATGATACTTGGTCTTTCTTGGTTTCAATTACATAATTTTAAATTAATTATAAATAATAAAAAATTACTTTAAAATTTAATTTATATGATAAAAAACTATCTTGACCTTTATTTGTAGAAGTTATTTGTGTAAATGTGTAAGATGTGTTTAAAACAAATACTTTTGATGAATTTCCAAAATACCAATCCAATAATTAATCTTCAAAAAAGAACTTAATCATCATTTAGAAAAATTTATAAATTTTTGTAAAATCAATAATTTTAATTAACACTAATTTTTTTGATGAAATTTATTTAAGTATATTGATAGAACTTCTTATTTTTGATATTAAAAATAGGTTTCATATATTGACTATAAAAAAATTGAATTTAAAATAAAATTCTTTTATTATATTTTTTATATATATTTCCAAAAGAAAAAGTACAATTACGTGAAATACAAGCACAACATGACTTTTTTATACCAGGCTACTTTGGATATGATTAAAAAAAAAAAAAAAAAAAAAAAAAAATGAAGTTATTTCAAGAGATTTTTTATAGCTTCAAATGTGGCAAGAAATAAAAGCCTTTGGTCAATCATTTGATATTTATTCTAGAGCAAGACTCCATGTTATTGATCTTATAGACTTCTTTAATTTTTATACATTTTAAAGCAACCTTACTTATTTATTCTAATTGATTTTATCATGAATCTTTTAAATTTAATTTTTTTATCTTATTTTTGTAAAGTGGATTTTTTTAACCAAAATAACATACTTGTATTATGTATTCTAAATGTTGATATATCAAGTATGTTATTTTGGTTAAACAAGATAAAAAAAATTAAATTCTATATTTAACTTATAATATTTTTTAAAATTTTCTTGCTTCTTTTTATTATTGATATTGATTCTTTTCTTTTTCCTTCTTTTGTATCAATTCTTACTAATTTTATATTTTATCTTTAATATTTTTTATTAATTTTTTATTAGATTTTTATCATATATATATATATATATATATATATATATATATATATCTTTTTATATTATATAGCTTCAATTTCTTTCAATACTGTTGATAAGTGTCATGATTTTTTTTAAAGTTTTAGATTTAAATTTTGATGTTTTAGATTTTTATATTGATATTTTAATATCAAATTGTTATCCTAATATAAAAAAGAAGTAACAAAATAATTTATGTAAAATAAATTTATTTTATATATTTTATATATTCTTTAATACTAATCATACTAATAAATTTTGAATAAAACTAAACCTGTCAATTACAATATTTTTTAAATTATTAAAAAATAAAAATATAAAAATATATTTTATAAATTTATAGAATCTTTAAGTATTTTATTTTTTTGTTGTGATTATTTGCATTTAGAAATAATTATAAAGTTTTTTAACTTTTTGCATTTATATATATATTCTAATACAAGAAATGAATGATATTTGAATAATAATAGTAAAGTTTCCATAAATTTATATTTCAAGTTATTCTTCTATTTTGAATTAATTTAGATTAAATTATCTTGCATTTAATCTGCCATTAGCTCTAATTAATATAAGTGTCTTTAATTGTTTGTTTTTATGACTACTTGAAATAATTTTACAACCTTGTTTTAATATTCTATTACAAAGGTACAAGTAATCAATAGTTTAAGCTTATCAAAAATAAAATTTGGCTTCATATCTAATGCTATTACAATCTTATCATTTCAATGAATTCCAAAGTCCTACTTACATTCATTACCATGTAATATATTATATTTGACAACTTTGGATGCATTGAGAGTAAGTAAATCAAAATTTTCTCTTATAATTGAATATTAATAAGGAAAAGCCATTATTGCATACTAAACTGTTTTGACTCTAAAAATTATTTTTAAACATACATATATTGTACACTCTTAAGAAAAGATCACAAAATTTTAAAGAGAAGTAAGAAAAGGTTTTTTTTCTAAATCCTAAGATTTTATCTACTTGTCTTATTAAACCAAAATATGATAATTGAAATGTATATGTTTTTATAAAAAAAAAAACTGTGTATTTTTAAAATTGTAGTTGTGATTGCTTTTTGACAGAACATTTCAAAAACACTTATTCCATGCAAGAAGTTCAAGGACCAAGTAAAACATCACATGGTGCCATGGTAAAATTTGAGAAATAAATAGTGTATATTAGTTACTTTTATTTAAAATACATAACTGGATTAATTTTATTTCATTAAAAATAATTAAAATGAAAATATTTACAGTGTTTTATACTTTGAATTTTCTTTTAAATTAAGCATATTTTTGTAATTTTAATTTGTACTAAAAATGAATAAATAATTTGAAGACCATACTATATCTAAGTTCATATAATTCTCTAATTTTCAATGTAACCTTTATTTTTATTTTTAATATATATAATTTTTGTATAGAAGTACATTATTTATTTATTCTCAATCTTACTTCTATTTTCTTCAGTAAAAAAATGCTTGAACTTTTTTAACCATGGGAACAGACATAAAAACTAAATGTTTTTGAAATTAAAAAAATAATAAATAATGGTTTATAGATTATTTGACTTTGATTATGTGTTATTAGTCATGATGGTTTATAGCTCTAAAATAAATAGAACTAAAATCTATGTGACAAAACCTGAATTATAATTTCTAATTTGTTTTATACTTAAATGTAATAAATTATATAATCAAGATGTGATTTTTATACTTATACCAAACTAAAAAACTATACAAATAAAACTTTACATTAATTGTAATATCAAGTTTACATAGAATACTATATACTATTATAACATAAAATAATATATTAATTAAATTACCCGAAAAAAATTAAAAGTACCAAATATATCAAAATAATATAAATTGTGGCATCTATGGATATTTAATCAAATTTTATGCCTATTTAATTATAACTATTAATCTAATATTTTTATAACTACATTGCAATATCATTTCATGTTACCATTCTTTGAAATCATTATATATGGAATCTAGTTTATTTTGTAACACAATAATATTTGATATATAAAAAGCTTTTAAATCTCATAAACTATATTATTGTAGTAATATGTTTTAACCTGCTTAATTTTTTTGTGTGCTTATAAACTAATTATAAGTTGTTATTATTCAAGTATAGGCATTCTTACAAAAAATATTTCCAATGATCACATTTTATGACATATTTAACTTAGCCTTTTATTTATTTCTTGTCTCTTGTAATTGTATATATTTTAAAACTATACATATACATATATACATTATGATTATTTTAGTTATTTTTCTTTTGTATGTTAATATTCATTTATATTTTAATTATCTTTTTATATTATTTTTTTTTCTATAAAATATAAAAAAATTTAAAAAATAGAGTGTTTTTAAAATAATTAATTGTTACAATGTTATATTTATATAAGTTAATATATTTTAATTAAAATTTACTAGTACTTTGATTTATTAATTTTTTAGGTTAATATTTTATAATAATTGTAGATAAGATCATATTGTTTACATTATTTTTGCATAATTATTTTTTGAAATTTATATGAAATTAATGATGATGATAATAATAATAAAGCAATTTTGCTGAAATTTATATTACATTTCTTTAGGAAAATAAATAAATTAAATAAATAACTATATATATATATATATATATATATGTATTATTTTTTTGATTTTATACATATTTTAGTATTTGAAGCCTTTACATTTTTTATATTTTGATTACAGTGTGCTTAAATAGATGGCCATTTAATATACTACACACATAACGTGTTTTATTTTTTAAAGAATATCCGTTGTAATGTTAAGTCTAAACTTTATATGTGATTTTGTCTCACAATTTAAGAAATATTAGTAGCCATAATCTTATTTTAATTATGATAAAAGTATAAGAAGCCAGGTAATATAAAAAAATTCTAGGCATATGTATAATTAGTAGAAGATGTGAGATCCTAATCAACAAGTAAAGTCAAATAATTGGTAGAAGCTTGTTCTTCTCGGAATACCATATAGCCCTAGTTTAGATTCACAAATAGAAAGTTTAATTAGTTCATATTGAATAAAATCCTTAGCCTTGTCATTTTATTGTGTTACAACACCTGCATTACATAAAACTTAAGTGTAACTTCAACATTAGTGCAATTACCAAACAAAAAAAAATATGTGTTGATTTTTGTTTAAATTATATTGACTATAATACTTTAGACAGCAACTGAGAGAAAAATTTAGTTTTCAAAAAATCTTGCAATGCTTACAAATCATATTTCTACTTGGGATTTATTCTTAAAATAAATAAATAAATAAATAAATAACCATTCAAAATGATTTGAATTGATAGAAAAGACCACCAAGTCACAAATACATGAATCTAAAAATCTCACAATCAAAAACATTAATATGGTAGATGTAGTTTTGCAATCTCTTCATTGGTAGTATACCCCACAAGGTTTCTTCAAACCCAACATCTTCAACAGTAAATAATTTAACTATTCAGATTGGAATGTGAGAATGAGCTTTGACGACAAGCTTTGTTGGTTTGGGGATGAAAATCAAACAACAATGTGGAACAAAGTGAGTCTAGATTTGAGGGATTATCCATTGAATGGAATGCCAGAGAAAGTGCGGGATGGGGTTACTAAGTTTTGAGTGTGGGAAGCGAGCAAACGACACTCAAGCTCCCGAGAAGTTCCATGAAATAAGTTCAACCAAACCCTAATTCTTGTACCGAGTTTTGTCGCTCATTGGCATCAGTCGGAGGCGAGGAAATGCCAAATAAATCTATTGTAATGGGAAGCTGATCGAAATCAAAGTTGGGTGGGTGTCCCGGACATCTGTTGAGTAGCAGCAATTGTGCTCGGTTCGCCACCGGAGGACCAAGTCAAGCCACTGCGCGCAGTGCGAGCTCGCCGCATGGCTCAGGAAGTGTCCAAACAAACCTTCACAGCCATGTGTCGTCGATTGACTGATTTCGTGCCGTTATGAACCAGCTGGGCTTTCGAAACCCGGATGAATTATCGGAGGAATGCCTTCGGATCGAAGCCTTCGAGCCTCACAAGCTCTTGCCGAGTCGCGTGCAGTGCCAACAACCGCCATTGTAGCATCCGAATCCTGCAAGCGCGATGCATTTGTAGTTGCGTTTGTGTTGGAAAGTTGCTTTTTCGATCGTTTCGTGCGTGATGGTTTTGCAGATTGTGCAGCGAGACCTCGCCGAAAGTGATTCATCCGCAAGTGGGCAGCGACGTGGCGGGGGTTAGAATAGAGCGCCAGGCTTGGAGGATTGCTTGTCATGCTGTGTTTATGATTCTCGTTGACGAGGACCTGGTGTGAGCATCTGGTGTGCGTCGGCTTTGGAAGTGCCTTTAATTTGGAGCGCTGAGAGGAGGAAATTTTACTGTAGAGGGGTGTAGGCATGGCTCATCTGCACACCCGGCTCTCGGAAGAGGCCGAAGCATGGATTGCAACGGGTGTGGATAGTTTCAGCAGGTGGCAGGAGTACGCGGCGGGATTTGGGCGGGCGACGTACATTGTGGCAGCGTTGGGGTTCTTTGCAGTGGTCATTTTGGAGCTTCACAACAGTAGGAAACGGAGGCTGTCGAAGCTGCCTCCGGGGCCATTTCAATGGCCGTATTTAGGGAGCCTTCCGAATCTTCTCCTCACTGTAGGCGTAACGTCATCGTTCAGATTGCGGGAGAAGGTTAGCGAGCTCGGAAGGAATCATGGGCCGCTGATGTTCTTGCAGATCGCGGATACGCAAATTTTGATTGTGTCAAGTGGGACAGCTGCGAAAGAGGTGAGCGGGAGTACTCTTCACTTGATTTTGATTGTTATCAATCGCGGATGATTCACGTGATGTCACGATCCAGAATCCTCCCACATACTCTGGAAATCGGGTGCATGACGCAATAAAACCCACTATTTGCTGTTAAATATTTGCAGAAATCGCCCTACCCAGCACTCATGAAAGGGGTTTAGGGTTTAGGAGTTCAATTTCGCAATCGATTGCATCTGCACGTCAGTCTCTGCTCACTTCAGCAGTCTCGGATTGTAAAGTAGGGATTCTGAACGATGGGTACACTTCGGAATGGTTGTGACATTAGGTGCTAATTGCGCGAGATGAGGAATTTAACTTCCGACCGCAATGCGCAGTAGGAAAGTACTTGGGTTTCGGTTCTTCGGACATAGCGTTTGCTGAGGGCAGGCACCATTGGTACTTGCGCAAGCTCTGCGACACCCGCCTCTTCTCCGCAGACAGTTTTGTCTCGTATGGGCATATTCCAAGAGCTGAAGCTCTGAAGATGCTGCACTCCGTTTGGGAGGCTTCCAAGAAAGGGAATGGCATTTCCGTTCGAGAGACGGTGACGGCCTTTGTTCGCAACAGCTTGTGTGGGATGTTGCTGGGTTCTGCACATCTGGATATCGAGAATGTCAGCCTACAATTCACAGAGAAGACTTTGATCACGTTGCTGGATGAAACCATTTGCGTGGTGGGGGAGATAACACTGAGTGACCTCGCCCCTGGTCTGAAGCGGGTGGATTTTCACGGCCGAACACGGAAGTTGAAGGAGCTCCACGAGCGGTGGGAGAAATACCTCCGAGTGATCCTGGAAGACCGCTCCCATCGCTTGGAGAAGAGTGCTAAACCCGAGGCTCTAGTAGACGTGTTACTTTCACTGGACGATGCAGACATGAAACTCTCGAATGAAGCCATTATGGGCGTCCTTTTGGTATGCGAATGCACCCTTCTCCGAATCTCGCTTAAACCTGCATTCTATCGATCCTTTTGTGTTACTGTTTGAATGCTTGATTCTTATCTTTCTGTTCAGGATACATTGGTTGGGGGGGTATACTCGACCAGTGCCACGATAGAATGGGCCCTGGCAGAACTCGTTCGTCACCCTGGAGTGCTTGAGAAAGTTCAATTGGAAATGTCCGAGGTTGTAGGCCCTTATCACATTGTGGAAGACGCCGAAATTTCTCAGCTTCCTTACTTCCAGGTGCAACAGCACTCTAAACCTCTTTTCTTGCTTTTAGTGCTCTTTGTCAGGTCCACATGTTTTCATCGCAAATTAATGAATCGGTCGAGCATGGACTGGCTTTATATGTGCAGGCCACTGTGAAAGAAACCCTCCGACTCCACCCGGTGGTCCCCATGTCACTCCCTCACATGAACAAGGTGGCAACTTCCATCTCTCGCTACCAAATTCCTGCAAACACATCTGTGGTAATTGACTACAAAGCCATTGCGCGCGACCCTGCGGCGTGGCACAAACCGCTCCGCTTCGACCCGAGCCGGTTCCTTCACACCAGCGCGGCATCACAGATTGACAACATTTTCAAATTCTTACCCTTCGGATATGGCCGCCGCGGCTGCCCGGGAGCCAATTTCGCAGCTGTGTTGCTTCAACTGGCGTTGGCCCACCTCATTCAAGCCTTCGACTGGGCCCCAACTAAAGGGCAACTTCCACACGATATCGACGTCAAGGAGTCCCCGGGGCTCGTCTGTTTCAGGTTCTCACCTTTGGTTCTGAGCTCCACTCCACGCCTGGCCAATTCTCTGTATCAGGTCTCTCCCTAGTGTCCGATTTTCACCATCGTTCCCTTCTGGAGGACAGGAGTCTGTAGTGTAATCTCTTTCAGAATGTGTTCGTGCCTTGCGTCTAGCCTCCGCCGTCATATCCACAGAATTCACAGAAGAAGCTCAGTCTCTTAACCTTAGTGGAGCCCCACTATTCTGATAGTCTGTTGCGACACGAGCATCTGTGTGGTTCGTTGGAAAAGCTGACGCATCGCTCCTCATGAATCCCTCGCAATCTCACGCAAATTTCACGCGCTGCACGCCGCGATCCTTCGCTAGCTTCTCCGTTCGAATGAAAAAAGTATTCATCCTCCTGTTCTCGCAGATGAGACATATAATTTTCTGTTATGTATTACGTGCATGAAAAGCCTACATGTATTAAAAGTTTAGTGTACATGAATTGATTCACCAAAAAGAAAACAACATTTACTCTAGAGGATTCTCTCCATCTACGAATAGTTGTAGGTATCCATAATAGACATCAATTTTCTTAGTTTAACTTTAATATAATACTTGTTAACATTCTGTATCATGATCGTCTAAAGCAGTAGGTGTCATTGTGAGGTTTTCACAATGACACCAAATGGTTATCACAACCAAATTTTCTTATTTAGCAGCTTTATTTGTAAATTATTTGTTCAATTTGGAATTTTTATGTTTACAAATATAACAAAATAAATTTTGAAACAAGAGGGAGTGTTCATACAAATAATAGTGCCTTGACTTTTGAAATTGAAGTCATTAATGCAAATACAATGTATTTTTTTAATCATAAATTAGATCCAAAATATATAATTAAAAATAAAGATGTGTTTGTATTTACTTGTTGACAATAAACCATTTCAAATTCCTCCATTCCCATTTCTAATGCCCATTTCAAGATGGGAATGAGGGTTAGAGAATAGGAAATGAGGATTGGAGGATATAAAATGACAGAAGGAAATAAGGGACAAGGATGAGAACAACAACATGCACTAGGAACATGAATGGCATACAACATCAAGAAGGAAAACAAGAAATAGAGATTTGAGACAAGGATAGGAGACAAAGATAGGGATTGAGGGATCAAGATGGAGATAGAGGTCGGAAATAGAGGTTGGGGATTGGAATGCAAATAGAGGTCATGATAAAAACAGAGGATATGAGGTTAGGACACACATAGGCAATGGGGGATTGGGACATAGATAGGGGATGGAGATGGAATTAATCATGAGATGGCAAGAAAGGTGTGGTGTTAATAAAATGAGAGCATGGCTTTAATAATTTCTTATATATATATATATATATATATATATACATTAGAATTGGTAATCATAAACTTTTTTTTAATAATTTTTTAACATTAAAAATACCTTGCTTAGACATGCACTATGTCATTCTATGACATAACAATACTTGGTAATGTCATCACCTATAGTGACCTTACACTTATTTTTAGTCTTTTTATAGCCACTCTTGATATAACAATGAAAAAATTAAAACTATTCTTTATTACCATCCTCCAATACTAATCAATATATGTAATATTGGTATATAAACATAGACATTTAATTGGTTTATAAAAATATAAGAGTTGTTGTTAAAAGATTTTAATATAGATCATATCGTTTTATTATTTTTTGACACAAAATAATGAAGTATAGAATATCTACATTTACTAGCATTAGAGTTCTTTACTTAGATTTGGAAGTAATATGTTAGGATAATGAAATTCTATATATTTACAAATGAGGTGGAAATTCTTTTTTATAGGATTTTTTTAAAATTAGATAAGATAACAAAATTAAAATTAAAATAAAAGAATGTCTTGTATCTCTTGTGAAGGAGATAATATACAATATAGTTAAAGCCTATAAGATGTTACTCTTGGTATCAATCTTGAATGTTGAGTCTCTTTCTACCTTTTTCATTTCTTAAGATACTTCATTGAGACAAGAATTGGCTAACATCTTTGGATGACTTTATAGATAGATGGATGCATGAATCAATATAATATCCTTGTAATAGATGCACATATACAAACACCATTGTCTTTATTTATTTATATATATATATATATATATATATACATACATGTCATATATAGAAATTCTTTGATAGTTTAACAATTCTTTATCACTTATTCTAAATTTTTTAGAAAACCTCAACACATCTTATGTTCTTCTAAAGACCACTAGTTATTATTTTATAATTTTCTAATATTCTCAAAGCTTTTTACCATTTCTTGTAACAAACAATAAATACTCGTATACAAAATTGCAAGGACTTAACATGTATATTTCATCTTCAATTTTAAAATAAAAACATTTGTATAAGATTACATGCAACTGAATGTATGAATATATATATATATATATATATATATATTATTTATTTATTTATTTATTTATTTATTTTAAATCAGGTCAGTCTGCAAATTTCAAGTTGTGGCTGAAGTTCGAGAACTTGACATACATTCAGATTTGAAAATACCTAGGTTTACAAAGAGTTCTGTGTATGTACTATGGACAGAGTATTAGAAATGGGCCGTTGAATATATTGCAGCATGCTTCATCGAACAGCATTGCTTCCTTATCAAAAAAAGAAAGAGATGCAGAATCACCGACGAATCCATCGCTCTTTCCGAGGCAGCTTCTGTGCCTGGGCTCTGGCGATGTCAGAAACAAGCAAGCATTGCGAAGAAAACGTATCGAGTCAACAAAGCTTCGATCCATCTAGACTGTGTGGGTCCTAGCGGCCAGCGCCACGCGTGTACGGCGTTCTTGTAAAACATTTTACGCGGTGCAGCTTGCGGTCCTTCATCTTACTTCAGCCTGCTGTTGCAGAAACGATTCCACTTGCACCCAACTAGGGACATGTATCATTATTTTTTTGGTGACCCAATTTGCCGGTACTGGAATCAAAAATAAAAAAAAATGAAAATAAATAAATAAATAAAAAGTCACAAGAGAAACCAGCATACCGATGATTCTAGAAGACTTGCTTTTCACAAGTGCAGCCCACATGGCGTCGAGGCTTTGCATGATCTTTCCAATTTATCGCTAGTGTCGCTCTGCAGTGTGGAGAAATCGCAGAATCGCCTTGCTGAAATTGGTATCATGTTTTATGTTCTATGTATTTTTTTTTTCAACGTTTTATAACTTGAGATTGCCTCCACCCACAATGAAAACAGACCCTAGAAGTTCCTTCCTTACGGCTTCGCAACAATTCAAAAAGGAATGATCCTTGCCGCAATTATTCTGCAGTATTCCTCTTCTAATTTATTATTGTTTGGCACTAAAATCCTTCTCGTCACAGTGCCTCGATAAGGATTTTTGGGGACAAGGAATCGTGAGCTGGTTCGATTCGCAGAGAAAGCAATCACTACGGACAAAGTGATTGGCGACCTGCCAACATAAAGGAGTAAAACTGTAGCATCTTCAAACCTCTTGGAGCATTTCATCCTTCAAAATTTTTTTGAAATCTCGAGAAGGAAAACCCCGTGCTGGCGACAAAGGTTGAGACCGCGATGGAACTAATCGAAACCGAGTAGAATATGGTGGGGAACTGACCTTGTTGTGTTGCTCGTAAGTGTCGAAGTTGACGGCGAATCCAAAGTCCAGTTGGACAAGCCAGGAGTTTTTAGTCGGAGAACAGGAACTATGCGGGGACTGGGCATTTCATCAATTCAGATGACTGCAGTGAACACCAACGCTTCGCTATCCAAGGAGATTTATGGCGTCCAACATCATGAAATCAACGTCGACATTCCTCCACAGTGATTTAAGGCTTTCGAAGAGCAACGGGAATCTTAGCTCTTGACATTATACATTATTGTTCGCACATGAACAGTATTCTGTGTTTGTTAGGTTTTCAATTATTTCATCAATTATTCACCAATTATTTCATCACAATATTTGTGACACAGCACTATTTTCTAACAAGCCTGAGGTTCATATTTCATGGATTCAGCATTAAAAAACTCGTCGAATTTGTGATTTCATCGAAGATAGAAGATTAGCATACCAAGAGTGCTAACGAGATAGTAGTTACGCAGGTTGCGCGAGTAGCTACATTTGTCAAATACCTACATGGCATAATACACCGAAAGAATCTGGCAAAAACTTGCGGAAGTTGCAAAGATGTGCAAATCTATGGACCAAGTAAAAATTTCAGAGGTAGCATTACCAATAGCTCAGACGAATACAAGGCTCGTTCGAAAACACAGAAATCAGCTATAAAAGCTGATTGTTCTACACCATCTCCATCCGTCTATATTTGAAGTAGACTTTCTTTACCACTACTTCAATCTCATTTTTTGCTTGTAACAAGCCGAAACAACGTGCTGTTTCTGCAACTTCAAGCACGTCACCACGGACGGGAAAAAGGCTACAAATGCAAATCATGCATCGTCGACCTAGAAACTAATTCAGATATCATAAATTAGAAGGTTGAAGGCTATTAACCGAATACCTTAAGAGTTAAGGCCACCGCTTGCATTTGGCCACATGATTCATGAATCCGTCTCAACTTGGATAGTAACGTGGCTAATTTTGAATACCCTCTCGCAATAATCCGCAACTGCCTGCAACGCTTCATTCGTGTTCACTTGCGGTTGAACTCGAATGTGGCAAGCAAGGAGAGTTTTCCCCACAGTGATTGCCCAGATGTGAAGATCATGAACCTCAACTACTCCAGGAAGCCCCAACAGGCCCCTCTCCACAGCCTGCGCGTCAATCTCCCTCGGAGTACTCTCCATCAGAACTTCCACAATGCTGCGAATCATCGAGAGTGTCGTGCACAAGACGAGAACAGAGAAGATTAGCGTGCAAACTGGGTCGATGACTTTCCAACGTGGCTGGTACCAGATAACAGCGCCTCCGATCATCACTCCCACACTTTGAAGAAGGTCCCCAAGAACGTGTAAATAAGCCCCCTGTACGTTGATGTTACGCTCTGGCTTTTTCTTTGAAAGGTCCCGACACAGCGAGACACTATGTGATTTCTTCAGCAGCGGCTCTCCCAAGGAATCAGACCCGTGACTATGTTCGTGTCCTTTGTGATGGTGATCGTGTTGTTTCTCCTCGTGATCATCATGAGCATGGTAGTGTCCTACAAAGAGAGAGATAGTACAGGATTGCTTAGCTCAATGCATGAGGAAAGAGGCCCTTGAAACAACACAAAACCTTTCTAATATAAGTTTCAAGAAAGAGGTTGCCATAAAGTCCACATTGTTATTCATACTGTGCCCGAAAACATCCTCTAAGAAAAAAGAAAAAAGAAAAAATCGTACAAAACCTCGTCGAAATAAAAACGCCAATTACGAAATCTGGGCTTACGGGAAGTGTTATGCTTGTGGCTTGAATGCCCGTGCTGTCCGTCATGCGTGCCCTGGCTCTCGCTTCCGTGACTATGTACATGCTCGTCATCGTGGCTATGGCCATGGCCGTGGTCGTGACTGTGACCATTACCATGATCATCTTCGTGTGAATGTTCGTGCCCGTGCCCGTGTCCGTGCCCGTGAGAATGACCATGCCCATGCGCGTGGCCGTGTTCGTGCCCCAGCAACACCATCATGCAAAGGTTCACAAGGAGACCCACACTTGCAATACAGAACATGAGACGACCGTCGATCGGCGCGACCTCAGTAAGAAGTCTCTTGATTGCTTCAAACACTAGAATTCCCGTGAGCAACCAAATGAATAGAATGGATCCAAGTGCACCTAGAATCTCCAATCGAGAAAACCCGAACGTTTGCAGAGGAGTAGCCTCCCATCCCGATGCCCAAATCGCGAATAGAGAGAGGGCAAAGCCTGCCACGTCGGTGAGCAGGTGTGCTGCGTCCGTGAGAATTGCAAGACTGTTCGCATACAACCCTCCTACTATTTCAACCACCATGAAAAATAAGCATATCATTACTGCCCTACTCAGCTTCTTCGACGAGGCGCGCCTCTCCACTTCGTCCTGCTCCATGCCCCCCACGCTTTCTAATCCGCACCTCGTGGCGGCACATTTCATCCTCGCAACATCATTCTGCTCCACCACCCCTAAGTCTCCACAATCGACGTACACTGCCTCCAAATCCCTACCCTCTTCTTCTACCGGCTTCGGATGGGCGTGCCCATGCTCATCAACGTTGGCAGCCATCCAGCTAACTGCGCTTCACTCTCAAATCCCCTTCAGACCTCACGCTCAACCCCCCTCACTGCATCAAAATATTCTCTGTAATCACAAAACACAAACAATTCACCCAACTGTCCATCAGACTGGCAAACGTCGCCACACATCAACTTCGAAAGTAAAACCCACATGCTCACATCTCAGGACGAAAACCCACGATCATGTCAAGCTCAGCATTCACTCTCCTCATGCAAAACAACGGAGCACACTCACAAGGAAACACCCGTGGTCTCGAGGAGCCAGAAACGCTAAACCTCCATAAGAACCTCCTCCTCTCCCTCCCCCTACCCTCTCTTGTTCATTATTTTACTCTCGAAATGACACTAAAACCTTGACTCGCAAACCTTCGCATGCAAAACTCACTTCACAAGAGCGGCATCAAAGGCGAATTAACCGTAATTGAGGGGGCGGCATCTGACAATCATAACAAAATTCGAGCGAGGAAGGGGCCAAGTTGGCAAGGCGAAAGCATCCATACCAGCAAGGAGTGCAAAAGGGAGGCACGATCCCACGGTTCTATGTGAGCTAAGAGGGGGGCTCGACGAGGATCGCACCACATGGAGTTACGAGAAGTGGCGGAGTGGCGACCTGAAACACCTCGCAAGGAATGGGATGCGATGCGATTGGGCGGTGTAAGAGATAGTGGACGGAAAGTTCTCCCGGGGCTGAGGCGAGCGCAGCAGCCGGGAGGACGAGGAGGAGGAGCAAGAGGGCAAAGCAGGGGTTCGTGCTTGAGCTGGCGTCCCTCGCATCGCTTGTCGCGATGCAAATGGAACGCTTGCACACATGCAAGCGCGCTGCCTCCCTCCGGCGGCCACCCTCCTGACACCAGCTACGCAAACTTCCCGCTGCCGCGCGCTCGCGCTCCTAGTTTCAACCCCATCAGTATCGTTTTCAGCATTGGGAAAACCCAATTCTACGGCCATCGAAAACCAATCTCCACATGCATCAAATTATCTTAAACCACCCACTCAGTGATTTTGACCAATTTGTGAGAGGTTTTTTTTTAAATAAAATAAAATCAGATGGGAATATAAGGTTCTGAAGTGTTGCAAAAGAAAGAAAGAAAAAAAAAAAAAAAAAAAACTGCCGCAATGGTTTAATTGAAAAAAAATTACAAAAGGTTTTAGCATTTGACCCCTGAACGAACCAAGGCGTAGACTTCAGCTAAACCGTGAGTAATCAGAGCAAAAGTTGGGGTCATGAGGCCGCCATGTCTGCAAATTCTCAATCAAGCAATCCAGAAGCAGATGGTGAGGGAGATGAATCACAGGGTCTAGCTTGCTCACTGTCCGCTTCATGATTGTAGCAGCTTCTCCTCACTACTTGTTGTTGATTTAGGAGCGTGACATGGTTTAAGATATTGCAACGTTATTGTAACATACGAAAATGGATATTTCAAATTAGTGTTCATCAAAATGAGTAGTTTGGGCATGTCCAAAAAATTTGAGCATGCTTGCTTGTTCGATTCTGGAACCTAGTGCATATGAGGGAGACCAAGGATAAGAGAACTTCTACTTAAAGAATGGAGCCCAAGGGATTTCAAGGGAAAGTAAAGACACAAAATTGAGTATAATAATTAATACAACATAGGGTGTAGTGCATCCACCAATATGAATCAATTCCAAAACCTCCAAGATTGCATCAATTCCTTCTATCATGCAAATAAATACTTCTGATAATTGTTATGGAGTGGAAATGCACACATACTTCCATGTGGTCAGATTTTTGTCTCTTGCTTTTGGCCTTGAGCAACGGGCAGAAAGTTAGCAAGGGGCAAAATCCTCTATCTTTCCATAATCTAACACAAACATCATCAATCCATCATGGATGATATTTTTGTTGGTTGGTATTTGTCCATGGATTAAATTTGGAGTTTATATTGCAAAACTTTGCCTCCATGATTCAGTATAATGTACAACTTAAAGGTCCTTCAAAAGCTTTAAAAAAAAAGTTAAAAAGAAACAATAAAATAAAATAAAATACTTTGTGATGCTTTTGTTTGTATAATGTTGCTTTAAGGATTAGTAATCATACATGAGAAGAAATAATCCTATACCAAAAAAACAAAATAAATAAAATAAATAAAATATAAAAATAAAACATAAAAATAAAACATAAAAAAAATATAAATCAAGGGTTTTATGTTTTAAAAAAATGTACCTTGTTAGGATTTAATTTATGTAGTTTAAGTCATGATGGTATAATCAGTGTTTTAATATAAGGTGTGTTTTGATAGATGGTATGTATTATGTTTTAATGCCACTATGCAAATGTGTTTTCACTGTACAATGTCTTAACTTTGTATCTTCTATGACTTTGTTGTAAATAGAATATTTTTCAAAGCTTATTGCTATTGTGATTTTCTTTAATCATGTTTTGCGGGTATATTGAAGCATTTTAAAAACAAACTTTTGGGTATTTAACTTTTTTTTTTTCTTACAATGATTTATAAAATTTTAATTAATAAAAATTTATTGGAAATATCAATTTATTATTATGTAAATATTTTTGTAAAACTAAAAATTGTGAAATAATTTATTTTACTAAATGTATTAAAAAAAATGGGTGATTTTTTCATGTGATACGAAAAACATATCTATACATATATCTATATATATATATATATATATATATATACTCTTTTAGAATGTAAAAGACCTTTACAAGATATTTTTAGTAGTTATAAAGGCTGTATAAATGTAAATATATATTTTCAAAGTTTAAGTACTAGTTAGTAAGTTATATGTATATAAAAATGAAAAAAGATATTAAAATAACTTACAAATACTATAAATAGTAATAACATGTCTTTACTTTGTCTTTTGATGCAAAAATGTTCTATCAAAGACTCTTGCAACATGTGGTTACATTGCATGAGCCTTAGATTGAGTCTCAATTTAGAATAAGATTTCACATGAATACCACCATAGACTTTGAAGACTATGCTATGCCTTCATAGTTGTTCCATAATTGGATTTACAAAAGAATCCTATTGTAGCATGCATTTTACAAGGCTTTAATGAATATATATATATATATATATATATAATTTGTTGTGAACAACATTAACTTTTAAATTTATAGTATAAAAATAAATAAAATATAAAATAAAATAAAATCCTATGATAGATTACTGGATGGTGTATTACAAGTGTTGTGAGGTTTTTTTAAGCAATTTGCTTCACAATTTCATAACAACTTGAAAGACATTTGATGGTTTGTAAATACATTATGAGAATGTCAAGTTGACTTGAATGTATTCTAAAGGAGAGTTTTTGGAATTACCATTTCAAATAAAAAAATTCTAAATGAAGATATTTTTTTAGACAAATAGAGCTACAGTAAGATAATTCTATTAAGTAGTTTGAAATAATTGAACAATTAATTCCTTTCTTTAAATAAGATAGTCTAAGGCCCTAAAATGTCCAAAAGAGCAAATTTTAAGTAAGTATTTAAATAAAGATAAGATGAATGTATGTATATATATATATATATATATATATGTTCTAATGAACTAATCAATGATCTTATTTTTAATCTTGTACTTAAATACTGATAAAGTATGTCTATAGATATAATTATTCATTTATTTTACAAATAATTAAGAAACAAAAAATATATATAAATAATATGATAACTATTATGATATTACAACCATTTATTTTTACTTCAATCAAATCATAAGATTATAATAAGTATTGTCAAAGTTATAAAAACATTAATACAACTATTTTGTGATATATGTATATATACATATATATATGTATAAAAGTTCATAAAATTCATATCAATTGTATAGCACAAAAATTAAAATTATTCAACTTTATGTTATTTTTTTTTTGCAAACATGTTATTGAAGAAATTTGAAAAGATCTTCAACTAAGTTTAATCACATCAAAACATTATAAATAGGGTATTGTGAATGCCACCACAATTTTTGCTACTACCACCACATGCTACCTACACTCTTTGCTGACTCAATGCAAGGCAATTGCAAGATATGTAGGGACAGTTTGTCATGATTGCATGAGTTGCAACGAGACTCATTTAATGCAAGTAGAGAATCAAACCATTATGGCTTGTGGAAGTGGTAGCAATGTCAAACTCCATGAAAACAATAAATGTATATATATATATATATATATATATATATTATGCAAATATCAAACTCCATGAAGAAAAAATATATATATATTGTGCAAGATGTTGAGAAGAGAGTGGTGGATGTGAAAGTACAAGAGTGCATGGGTGGAATGTACAAGAATAGCACACAAGAAGAGTGAATAAGATTGTGAAGAATTGTGAGTGAAGTAGGTAGTGTGTTGTGGTGGCCATAGCAAAAAATTGTAGTAATATTCTATAAGAATGTACACAAACACACATGTACACAAACATGTATACACACATATACACACAAATAAAGATGTTTATTATTGAATATGATATGCTGCTACAAATTTTGGTGGATAATATATACACATGATCAAACATCACAGAATTTTTGAAAAACCAAAAATTGAGAGATAGAGATAGACAAGTAAATCACTGGCAATTGTTGACTTGATTTTGTTGAATTCCACACGGAATTTGCTTTGTCTCGTTTGTGGTTCTCCCACCACTTCCTTGCTCCAGCGTTCTCACTGGTACTGCGTGGTACAACGAGTGGGAACAAACATAACAAAAGCGGTTCTTCTCATGGGGAACGGGGCCTCTGTTCCCAAGCGTGGTGAAACGACTTGTCGTATACGGGGGGGAGGGGTGAGCAGCGCTGGGGATGCCAGACCTGGACCTGCCGAAGGACTTGGAAGGGCCCATGCCGCCACTAGCGTCACGCAAAGCGATTTTGTTCTTTGCAAGTTGGGTCATGATCCTGGTGCCGGGCACGGGACGGGTCATCTGCCCGGAACGGGAGGGAGACGTGACGTGGTTGAGTCCAGGCTGGACGGATGGAATTATTCGGAGCTCAACACGTGTACAAATTGCCAGGTCGTTTTGGAGTCTCTCAATTCCTGAGCATGTCTGCATTTTATGCGAAATGTTTTTTGAAACGTTGGCTGGTTTTTTCTTTACTGAATGACCAGCAAGGAGGCTACTTGCTTTGTTTCAGGAGTGAAATGTTGAAGTAAACTATTGGTGTGCACTATTGATTTTTCAACTGGATCAAGAATCTTCAACTTAAAAAGATGAATTTGTATCAAAATATATTATTTAGATTTTTTGTTAAATATTTAGCATTTTTTCTTTTTTTAATTTCTTTGTTTTTAAAGACAATAATCATATTTCATTTCATATTTTTATGCAATTTATGTATGAACATATATATATATATATATATATATATATATATTTACACACATGTGTGTGTACTTTTGTTTTTGCACATACATGTATATTTGTTTTTGTTTATTTTATTAATTTAAAATAAATTATGAAGTTATTCGCATTATAATTCATTGTGATTTATTATAGCAATAAATAACAGTAGCTCCTATAGTTATAATAGCAATAATCTATGGTAACAATGTCAATGTAGTAACACTAGAGGTGCATGTCTAAATCACAAAAAATAAAAGCTTGATATATATGTATATAGAAAGAGAGAGAAACATTTCTTATTCTAATACCATGGAAAATTAAGTTAAATCTTAAATTTTTGTTGTAGATTTTTTTTAAGAATTAATTTAATTCATGAATTTATTACTTTTAGCAAATATTAACTTGTATATGTTGAAACTATTATATGGATTTTATTTC